CTACTACAATAATAGCTAGGCATATTCTCCACATATTTGCCAGACAGAAGCATTACTTATACTATTTTAAATTTTCGAACATTTACATTTTATAAGAAATAATAATGGAATTTTATAAAATTACCAAAAAATCTCATCATTATTCAATTGTTGCGGAGAGAGAGGAAAAAAAAACGTGAGGTGTCATTATTGAACAAATCACTTTTTTTTTTTTTTTAGCTATCATTGACTTTGTTTTATTTTTATAGGTCATCCATAAAAAGTTGTTTTTTTTTTTTTAATTAAAATTTTTTAAAAAAACTATGTCTTCCCCATCACCAAGAATGCGAAAGAAAACAAAGTTAACAACGAAAATAGACGGGAATAAATGTTTTTGAAACAAATTTCAGGAAATGAAAAAATCTAGTGGTTTTCAGGTTTTGCATGAAGCGACACTACACTTATTAACAGTTGTTAGCAAAAATAGTGTGACGTAATGGCTAACATTTTTTTATGTTTGATTTAAAAAAAAAAAAAAAAAAAAAAGAAAAAAAGACAACATTGCCTTTACTTTAATTATTAAAAATAATAATAGCAAATATTCCCCCAAGGAAAAGGCTTTAAATTAAAAATAGTTGACAGGCGGTTTGTCATGATTAAGAAAAATGTAAATGAAATCTAATTATAAAGCAGAAATTTAAAAAGGTACTTGAACAGCTGTTCTCTTTGTTTAAAAGAAGACTTTATTACTCCAAGGCAGTAAGTCGAATGAAGTTCGGTTATTGCATAAAAAATAGACCTTATGACTCTTTGTAGTGAGTACATGCCAATAATGAATGGGACAAAACGTGGGAGGAACTGAAATAAAATGTTAGTTTAGAAAACATTAAACATAATTCCAAAGTAATGATACTTCATTTATATGGCTATAAATCAGATTTATTTTTTTCAAAATAAAATTTTATCATGCATAAAAAAAAGAGAAAAAAATTAATTCCATAGACCCGAAGTAAAGGGAACGTAACAAGAAAGCGAAGACATACAAAAAAAAAAAAAAAAAAAAGAATGGGTTCCGATATTTCACTTTCTCTTATTGCATAATGTTTCTTGATTATTCTGAGCATCGAAGAAAATTGAATGATTTTTTTTTTCCACTTGGAATGTGATGAAAGAGAAAAGCTAAACTAACAAGTGCAATGTCTGCATGTAAAGATTTACGTTTCTTACTCATACCAAAGGCAAAAAACAATATCTGCTTCGCTTCTTTCATAATAAAACAGAAAAACAGTGTCATCATGTGAGAGAAAGACAAAGGAGAAAAAAAAAATGATTCAGATTGTTCAAACAAAATATATAAACAATATAATAATTCTCCAGATTAAATGTTAACGTTTAAGTTGTAAATGTAATAACTAATTATTAGTCGAACAAGTAAATCACGCACTATTCATTTTTATTTTTTTAGAAGCTAGCAGACTATGAGGGCTGGACATAATATTTTAATTTTTAAACAATTTCTCTGATGTCGACATTTTCATCCTGAGTAGCTAATTTAACTATGGTTATTCAGCAAAATAGTTTCATCATTTCTCATCTAGCTGCATATTGCATACATGAAGGCTGCAACGACGATCACAATATAAATCAAAAATTATCCTCGCAACTATCCTGCATGTGCGTGCTGTTCTAAAAATATGCTCAACATCGTAACTAACTACTTTACAGTAGTAGGAGTCACTAGATTATTTAACCTCACGGAGATCCAACAGTGAATATTTGCAATAAATGGAAACATATTTTGCTGCTGTCAGTTTGAAGATAAATTCGTAAGAAAAAGATCAAACAGAAGTCTAAGTAAATGACTTATATGAGTGATCAAATGACATGTTTAAGTTTAACACTAACAGATAACAATATAGCTGCTGTCACCGCGAATTGCCGTTTTAAACGTGTCATTTTTCGTACACTTAAAAATTCTCATAATGAAACCAGCCAGATCGGATGATTTTCTCATTAGTAATCAATAGACGTGAAACTAAATACTTACAAAAACTAAGACTAAGCTACGGACGGAAGATATTTCAAATCAACCAAGGAAAAATATCAAGAAGAGAAGACTAAGAGAAGTGTTCCTATTGATTTAATAATATGCATCCGTGCGCTGAAAGCAGAATAGAGTCGCCGAGACTGTTCTAAGTTGTTAGTCACAAGTAGTCACAAAAATACAGTTTTTAATTGTTCTGGTGTTGTAGTCTTAATCATCAGATTTAAAGATCCAAATAGCTGACATTAAGAGGCGGAAAGAACATGATTATCGAGCATCACAAGCTTAGACTAAGTAAAATTAAATTTCTTATTTTAATTAGTCTTTCTATAAGTGATAAATAAAAATAAGCAGTAGTTAGCAATAATGTGTTACGCCGTTACGGTTAAAAAAAAAAAAAAGAAAAAAGTAAATTGTAGTAAAATAGCGTGTATAACTTTGGTAATCAACTGAAGCATCAATCTCTAGTTTTAGTTCAATAAGGTTAAAAATGAAATGGCTGGCTATACGCAAACAAGTGAGTTACCAAACCAACCGAAAAAATAAAATAAAAAAACAAACAGAATAATCAACATTGAATCTGAAATGTATCAGTAGATAAAATCCAAATGCATAGACTTTTTTTCCAAATATACTTCCACAACAAATAGGTTCTTTTTAAAAAGGTGTAAATAAAAAGAAAGCCTCGTGTGTGTGTGTGTGTGTGTGCGTGCATCTACAGGGGGTTTAAATTTTGAGAAAATGACTCAACTGAGTCATTTAAAAGTAAAACAGATTCAGCTGTAAAGAAATTCTCGTGTCTTCATTAAGTGAAATGTCACATTCCAATACAATCAGTGCAATGATTGGAAATCTTAATTTTATGAACTTAAAGTGTGCTAAAATTAATTTTTAAAATTTCAGGATTTATTTTTTCGTGTTTCTGTGAAAAAAGTGAGCTTATATAGCACTCAAAAAAAAAAAAAAAAAAAAAAAAAAAAAATTAAATATCGACGTCAAAACATTTTATTTCGGACGCTATTTTGATTTCTGAAATAGAAATTCAGAAATTTCGGATGCTAAAGTTCATGATAGTTGAAAATTTTACACCAACATGAAAAATACTAAAATAAAATTGCTGTTATGGAGGAAAATAAATGCAAAGTGTTAATGACAAAAAAAAAAAAATAATAATCAACTTATTTTTCATCAGACGAACTGCTCATTTAAAACTAAAGGAAATGTTGAAATTCAGGAGAGACACATTTTTTGGTGGACAGAAAAAAAATAAAAAATTAGCAAGTCAACACAAAAAAAGTGCTCAGTTAAAAAAAAAAAAAAAAAAAAAATCGTACAATTAAAATTATTTTTTTTAATTTCATCAATTATTAAACAATTGAATGTGTAATTATTTTTTGGCGACTAAAACTAAAACATTTGTTGATTTTTTTGTGATGTGTGTGTGTGTGTGCGCCAAAGACATTTCGGTGGAAAAAGTAATATTTTTACTTTGCTTCATATTTTCTCTCGTAGCTTTTTTTTTTTTTTTTTTTAGATAATCAATGAATAAAATATTTCAAGAATACAATTTATAAAAGAAAATTTAAAAAACTGCTATTTAGTTGAGGTGACAATAAAAGCTGTTTTCGGGGAGGGGGGAAGAGGTTTGAATTTTAAAGTAACATGTTCTTTTAAGAATGAATAATGGTGAAGGATACACTTTGAAAGTTGCACATATTCAAAAAAAAAAAAAAAAAAAAAAAAAAAAAAAAAAAAAAAAAAATGTACAAGGCCAGCTATAAAAAAAAAAAAAAGAAAATAACGGTTGTTGTTCAGACGAGATAAATGAAATTGAAATGTAATGCGCAAATTATTACTTTGTTAGAAATCATTTGGTAACAACAAATTTTACAACGGAATATACGCGTGTAATGACACTGTAAAGAGGAATCAACTAATTTATTTAAAGATAAAACATGAGGAGTGTAAATTAAAATTAAACAAAGTAGTAAAAAAAAAAAAAAAAAATCTTAAAAACCGAACGGGACAAAACACAGGTTCACCAACAACTAGCTTAATGGAAGTAGTAGTGCTTCCCAAATTTTAGCAGAAAAAAAAAAAAAAAAAAACAAGATAAGAAAGATAAATACATCAATTAAAGAAACAAAGAAAAAAGGCCTTAAATTAATAAGCACTGAAAAACTTATGGGGGGGGAGTGAAAAACAAAAGTACAACTGGATGGTAAATAAATACTGAGTGATCAGGCAATAAAACTTTTTTAAGATGGAAACTTGGAAAACTACGAGATGTTGGAAAGATGATATTTGGAAAAAAAGTTTTTAGTTTAAAAACTTTTTAAATGGTTAAAATTTTTAAAAAATGTTGCGATTCAACTATTTTAATAAAATCTTGTTTCCGAAATGATGAATAAAAAAGAAGACGAATATTGAGTAAAAAGAGGTAAAAATGAGCTACGAACCAATTAATCATCATTCGTTAAATTAAATGCAATATATTTATTTGGTAAAACTCCTATAAATTTTTAAGGCTAAAAAGTAAAAGTAGATAAATAAAGACAGCGCTATCGACGCAAGGAAAAATTGTTTAATTTTTTTTCTATTTTTTTTTCTAACGATCTATAGAAAAACAGTTAATTTCCTAAAAATTTAGTTGTTTGCAATATTCAGAAAAGAACTTATTTCAACAATCCCATCGTATTTGAACGTTTTCATAGCGTCAAGCAGTTTCAGTGATGATATGTAGTCTCGTTAAAAAGTAAATAAAAATGTTGAATTTTTATAAACATTGCTGCTTACGGAACAGATGAAAATTATAATTATTTCCGCTACATAAAAACTACAGGAGTGTCGCATAAAAAAATGCAAAAAAACAAAACAAAACAAACAGACAATAATCAGGTTTTAAACGACTGAAATAACAACGAAATAGTTAAATAAACGTTCTATCATATATTTGTTTATGCTCTTGCCCACTTACCATGAATATTCGTCATCCTTAGAAGACGAAAGACTATTTACATCCAATATATCAACATCGTCGTCCGACACCTGGTGGACATTATTATTGTTATTATTGCAGCTGTTATTCTGGTTTTGATGGTTATTAATGCTCGCCGATCCATTGTGGCTGATCTTACTGTCCACATCTCCATTGTTGAGCTTCTGTTTACTCCTAAGAAGCTCGTTCTGAAGTTCGAGCTTCTTCACAAGCTCTTGAAGTTTGCGTACTTCGGCATGAGGGTCAACTAAAGAGGAATCCTGAGGACTGGCCGCCTCCTTCTTCGACACGCTGTTCATTTTTTCAAGGAAGGAGGTGAAAGAAAAAAAGCGTTATTTTGGTAAATACTCCTTTCTGCTGCACCCACCAAACCCCCTGCAGTATTTATTTTATGGTGTGTCAAACAAAGCTGTTGGAGAAATGGAAGAAAAATAAAGATTTTATAATTTCGGCAGGAGCCACCATCAGCCACAGAATCAGCGACAGACGTCGTAGTCTTGTAGCAGGAATATAGCTTGTGCGCATGCGCAACATCTAGTTCACCGGAAGTGAAAAGAAGGTCAGGAAAGGGGTATGTCCTAAATCATCAAATAAGGTGTGAAGAAGCAGAAAACATATACACGAAACTTAGGGGCCTGTTGATGTGGGTTATATAGTTCTGTATTTTTCATAGGCGCCAGGTGCAAGTCAGTGTTTGGAATTCTGACATATAAAGTCAGAAGGCTTTTCCAAAATCTTCCTCTCTATCTCTTTTGTCCAGAGTAAAGTTAGCATAGTAAATAACAATGCTTCAAGTTTTGAATTGCCTAGCACATGGCAACAGTAGTGGACTATTGCTCAAACTCATTGGCACTATGTTTAAGCTGATCTCATAGATATATATTAGGTTATTCATACTGAAATTTCTTATTTTGTTTTTGCTTAACATGTTTACAATTTGGCAAAAATGATAACATTTTTAATTGATATTTTATTTTTAAATAGTATATCTGTTGATTATTCAGAAAGAAATTAATTTCATTTCATAAATTTCTAATCAGGATTTTCACATTTTATTTTATACTGTAGTGTTTGTGAAGAAAAATATTTAAAAATCTCTATAAATGAAGATTTGGTAAAAATGGTAACCCAACATTATTTGAACATGCAATCTTCTGATCTGGGGTCAGAAAGTTGTGTTTTCAGATCATGTTAGGTTAACATTTTTACCAAATCTTAATTTATACAAATTTCTAAAGTTTTTCTTCCCAAACACTACAGTACTTATATGGGTTCATAAAGATGCTGAATCTTTTATAAATATAAATTCCATATTTGAGGATAACACTTGGGAAATGAAGATTAAGATTTTGATTTTAAATATTTGTAAATGAAGATTTCAGTTTAAAAAAATGATGAAAATTTGAAGGCTAGAAAATACTTACTTTTGTTTATAATGTATAATAAACATTTATGCAACATGCATTTTTCATCACCTGTAGTGTAATTTCTCTTAAAGAATGACACAGACTTTTTTGCCAGTTAATTTCAACATATCTCCACATATTTATGCTACATTTTGGATATTTTATTGAATTCAACCCACAAGGTCTGTTTGTTTAATTTCTTGTTTCATTTTTCCAGTTTGCATATAAGCAGTCACACATTCATATTACATTTATAAAGAAACTGTCCAAAGTTCAAAATGTTTTTGTCCAAATACCAGAATGAAATCTATCAAAACTTTTCTCTGTTGTCACTGATACCATTAACATTCTTAATAATGAATAGTGATAGTTGAAAGTACTCATTATGAACTTTGGCCATTTTGTTTATAAATTTGATATGGCTGTGTGACGGCTTATGCACAAACTAAAAAACTGTAATAGAAAATTAACCAAACATCTTGTCAGTTGAATTTAATAAAACATGTTTGAATGAATAAATAAATATACAAGTTTAGTTAATGACCAACAGAATTTCTTTGCTAAGGATTTTTAATTGATTTTATTCTATATTTCAGAACATTTTCTTGGTTACCAGTATATATTTAACTATTTGGTGTTCATAAGCCATTATTAAAGAATTTTGCTTTTTGTGCTATATCAGTTTCATGATTTTCAAACATCACATCTTTGCGTCTTCATGTGACAGTTTGTGTGTATATATATATGTATGTATGTGTTTGTGTAGCAAGGTCATATATATCTCAAAACAGATTTGATTAAAAAAAATTGACAAGGTTGGTCTGTTTAATTTTTTAGTGTATCTTTCAAAATTTTGAATAAGAGGTTGAGTATTGTGAATGAAATGAACTTTGCACAGTTTATCCACAATTTGATCACAATACTCAACAGGCTGGAGAGTTAAATTTCTGAAAGAATCAGCATATATAAGCTGTGAGGACCTCCTTAGTAGGCTTAGCATACAAATAGAGAGAAAGAAAAATGACAGCAAGTCTTCAGCAGCAGCAGTAGTAATTAAAAACATAAGTTGTAGCAGCAGTCAAAACATGACAGCCAGCAGCAGCAGTGGCAGCCTAATCAGCAGTGAAGACTAGGTTTAAAGCTCTAAGTTTACTCCTGCAAATTGTACTATAGGACAATGGCCTAGTGGGAAAAAGCATTGAGTTGTGAATTTGGTGACACAGTATGTGTACTTGTACTCAGTGGAAATAGGTGAGCAATAACTGAACAGAGCTAAATAAAATAAGAACTAGACAATATCCCTAGACATGGACAGTGGAACAAGAACAGTCTACCCCTATAGACTACATAAAGGAATTCCCGCTAGGTTACCCAGATGATATACACCTGAGGAAGTCTGGAGGTCACAAGGCTGAAACATTGTGCTAAAAACAACAAAGATGAAGAGAATAGTCCAGACAAACAGTCCAACACCTTATTCAAAAATTGGAAAATACAATGAAAAATTAAACAGACCTTATCAGTTTTTTTAATCCAACTTGTTTGGATAAATACTTGCTGCCAAAATGTAACTGATATACAGGGAGCAATGGATTAATGGTTGTCTAAATTACACAAAAATGAAAAAAATACTGACATCTCATTTTAACATATATTTACCAGAATTACACAAAAATATCTTGAAATACTAAAAAGTAAATTTATTCAATAAAATTGCAACTGGCTTCAACCACGGCCTCCATATGACTTCAGAATCTCCTGCAACTCTTCTGGACTGTCTCCTTGTTTAAGTTGGTGAATGCTTGTCTTCAGTTCATCTTTGGTGTTACAAGGAGTTTTGTTGGTCTCTTGCTCAACTGCACCCCACACATAGTAATCAAGGGGGTTGAATTCTCCTGTTTCTGGGGCATAGTGCATATTCCTATTACCAGATATAAGGTCTTCCAGCAGCTACTCTCTTGACTCATGGCAACATTACTTCCTCAAGGCACTTGAGGAAGTAATGTTGCCATGTCCGTATTGAGTCTGAACAACAAATTCAGGACTTCTTTTCTTATCAGAATGATCAGTGAGTTTTCTGAGCTGCTGTACCTTTGCAATCACCATTAGACTCATCCAACTCTTTCTGAATCCTCTGCACTGTCCTCAGATTGACACCCAAACACTCTGAAATGTTTATATTGGATCTTGCAGGACAAATGCCAAGCAGTACAGCATGCCGTTTCTAAATTTCTGGTAGAGTGAATTGTGTCATAGTGCTTTTTTTTCTCACAGATGATTTCCAACTGACCCTACTATACTGTGCAGTTAACAAAATCAAAAACAAACAATACGTATGTGCAAAATTAAAAATATAAAATAGCGACAATTTTACCTATCACACCCTATATATACATATATATATATATATTTGCATGCTGTGCATCTTATAACTATTCACTTAATTTTTAATAATTTTTAAAAACTAATTAAGAGATTTACAGAAATATTTTTACTATTAATATGCCAAATATTTCATTTCACACATGTAATAATTATAGTAGACTACATATTACTCTTTATGATATGGTAACAATTTTATGAATCTTACTGGATTTTCTTAGTTGTACATTATTAACCAGATTAATGAAACTCCAAGAAACATTATGTTGTAATTACAAATTATTATCATACAACATGTACAAAGTTTACAAAGTCTTGAGAAAAATACTGAAAACAATATCATTGTAATGATGACAAAGTTATAAAGACAACATTAACTTGAAAAATAAGCTCCATGTTCTGAAATGAGTTTTATAAGTCAGTTATTCATTCATTTTGTGAGCTGTTGTATTTCTTCATATGAAACAGACTGCGCAGCAATCAAGAATAGCATTCGAAAGCTCATCTTTACTGATAAATTACCATCTGCCTTCCTCTTCATCACCTATAATCTCACCACAAAACATCACACCATTCCTGTCTTAACAAGTGTGGGTGGTTTCTGGCAGTAGCTACCTAGCCGACTGACCCAGCAAGGGTAACATGGCATTTGTTGGTGAAAAAAAACAGTTGAAAAATGTATCCTGTTGCAGATTTCATTCAATTTTCTTTGCGGATGTCTTTTAAAGGAAGTCTAGTGATTGGTCTCATATTTTACCACTTGATTGAGAACCTGACATCTTGTGTTCTTTATACTTCCTCACTGCTTTAATACATAAGAGTTTCATGACTTGACAAAGAGTTTTTTATAACTTCTCTCTTGATATAAGACTTAGATTGACAAGATGAAGTTTTCAATTTACACTTATCAGATATGTATCAGAGTTGCCTAAGATCTTCAATGAACTTCTTCACAGTTTAGTGCTGAAAATTTTTATATTTTCTAGCTTTGTTTTAACTTTTGCAGACTCTGGAGTTATTGAACATAATTTCTTATATATCAAATCAACCTTACAAATTTTAAAGCTTTAAACTTACAAAATGGCTATTCATTTAAAACTTCAAAATTTTGAACATTTCATACAAATGGCTGTCATTCACTTACTTCTACACTGATAGACCAACATTAGTTATCAACATTTAGCAAATAAACCTTTTGATTACAATAAGCATTTACTCCATATAGTGATAAAACAGGAAGTTATTAATAATAGGAGATTCTGTGAGTATATATATATTGTTTCATTAAATATAACAGACAAGGAATATTTAGTTATTAATTTTTCCTTGTGTTCTTACAATTTTTCTTTTTTGATGAGTGAGTGTTTGGATAAGTTGTTCATAGTTTTTATTTTCCCAAATGTTTTGGCTAATAGATACTTTAGCAATTTTCAAGAGGGGACTATTTTCATGGTAACAAGGATTGTTAATATTGAGAGGCATTTTTTGTAGTAGTAATTTCATTCTTAGTG